TACAAAAATTAAGATAATTAATAAAATATCTTCCTATTCTCTCATCTTTAATAAATATTTATTTTCTTTCACTTTTATCTCATTTCTCATTAAAAATATGTAAAAGTCAAAATAATTAATGACATAACATATTCTCTCACTTTCTTGATAATTTCAATTTTTTATCACTTCACAATTCCCATAATTCTATTATTTCCTAACTGTTTCTTCTATTCCCAATCAATTGAAGATAAGATGTATTTAATGGTCTCCAACTGTTATTTTTTTTCCTATATAAAAAATTAATTATTTTTTTTCAATTTATAATATTTACTTATGAATTTTCTTTCTTCTTTAACTTCAATAAAAAATGCCTCATTTCCTTAATTTCAATATAAAAAAAGTGTCATTTAAATATTCAACTTTACACCTTTGAACTTACTAAGTCGCCTTTGAGATGATTTCTCTTTATAAAGCTTTCATGTAACTTCCTTTGCCATATTGGTCGAATTTTGCTTATTTCACATGCTTCTTCATGCTTTGTTAGCTATAAATTTGTATAGCTTGAATTACTCTTTGGTACTCGTAGTGCAACATTTGTATAAGAATTTTCTCCAATATTTAATGTTAAGGAAGAAAATTGTTTCCCCTTTTGTTTAACTAGGTTTTGTTTAATTTCTATTCTTTCACTTTATGTAAGAAAGCATGCTTTCATGTGAATAACCTTGCCATTTTACCTTTTCTTGCCATAAATTGCTTATCTTTTTCCTGTGTTTTTTGACCTTCTCAAGTCAGTTTAGGCAAACATATATCAAAAGAATGTATGCATGCAACTTTTAGAATCCATATTCATTTACTTTTCTTCCATAAATTAAGAGCCTATAATATATGTATATAACTCTAATACATAATACCTAAAAAACCCTCTACACTATTTAGTAAATTCAAATGAACTCTTATTTTTTTAACACATTCAATCAAATTTTTATATTTTTATTTTAAATCAAATAAACCTCAATTTTTATTAATCAAAATTCTCTTATTATTCTATATCACATATCACGTAACAGTAACATCACATGTTAATATAACATTTAACATTATAATGTGATATTTTCACCTTTCATATCATTATTACATGAACATAAAATAACAAATAACATTTTGATCAATGATAATTAATTAATTATTACTTTTAAAAACCTATGTGAATAAAAAATTTAATTAAATATAATAAAAAAATTAAAACTTATTTAAATTCTCTGAAAGAATTCAAATATTTTTTTAAGCATTATCCTCAAATCCAATTATCAATTCAGAACATAAGGCCAGTGTTCTGCTAATAACTAACATAAAGTCAAAAATAAAACCTTACAATTTATGGGGAAAAATGGGTCTGGCCAACAAGTGGAGGCTAAAAACCTAAGGCCTAGCAATTGGTGGACTTCTTCAGCTTACCGTTAAATCAAGGCCTTACTAGCTAGCAATGCCAAAAACTCAGAGGCAGGGTCCTTACCTTTGGAATGCACGAAGAGTTACAGAAACACAACAATACGTCAAGCAACTTGTACAAAACCATCATACAAGAAAGAGATGCATTATAAATTGAACAGTCGCCTCCATAATCGTAATGGAAGATATAACTATGTTGTTGAGCACAACATCATCAACCTCATATGATTACAATTTAAGGCGAACCCCAACATCAAGTGGGTGGGGAAAAAACCAGCAGGGTTTCCGATCTACATCTACTAACACTCCAAGCAAATTCATTCCCGATTCTCTACTTGCAATGAACCATGCAATAACTTCTTTTGCTTCAAACTGTAGGTCTACCATAGCCACAGATACAGCTACGTTCCACAGACTGTATTTTTAACATGCTCACAATGATACAAACCCTATCATGCCATCATTTAAATAAGACCATGTGACAACCATCTTGTTTACACAAGAAAACAATGCTGATTCCAAGCAGCAAAAAAGCCTTTGGGCATATAACGCATACACCAGAAATGCTGGTATGCCGTTCAGTAAATCACCCACCTCCTACCCGTAGATTTCAGTTTGCACACCCCATTCTGACCTCACAAAAGGAAAATCCAATAAAATGCACAGCATTCACCAAACTTCTAATCCCACCTAGACATCTCTTTATTGGCCTCCATCATTGGGGGGTCGATTTCCACACTCGAACACAAGCATCCTCACCAGAGCTCACCACACTGTATTCATCAGTAAAGGCTAATCCATAAACTCCACCTAAGTGAGCTCCTTTTATGGTCATACGGCTAGATGCTGGCTTGTCAACCTCGTAAATTATTACACAGGTGTCGAGTGATCCAGTAGCAACCAGACTGCTATTCGGAGACCAAGCAAGACAGTTTATACGAGCAGTGTGGTACAACATGTTTTTAAGCTTTACCTGCAGCAGAATATTTGTTAAAAACAAGTTAACAAATTTACATGTTCTTAAGCTCCAATATGTCACACGGAGCATTTCATAAGTATGACTACATTTCATAGTCTAGCATTAAAGAAAATCACATAACAATGCATAAGATCATTGCAATAGGCTAGAAAACAGAATTACCAAAACAAAGAGAAAGTGGACTAGAATCACATAATGAAACATCTAATTTCCGTGGTTACATGTAAGTTCCACTGCTGCTAGGTTTGATAAGAATCCCAGTAGTGCAAAATTTTCCACAAATCAAAAAACTCTATGAATATCTGAAAATGAGATATTGCATGTCTGGGCCAAAGTTCATCCTAAACCAATGACCATCACTACCTTTTCCCCCTATAAATATACCGTATGGGATGGTCATCATAAGGTTCATTTAACAAATACAAATGCAACATATTGACTCAACAATCAGTGCCGCCCTTCAATCTGCTTAATTTATTGAAAAGAAAGGAAAGAAAAAGGTAAAGCAGATAGCCTGAAACACATTTAAGACCATAGCATAATATAAAATGGTCTCCCTCAATGCAATATAAGAGAGAAACTAACTAAATTTAAACACTACGGTAAACTGTACTCATGTCTCCACTTTTAGGATTGTATAAGCATAAATATGCGAGGATGAAAAGACAGAGACAATGGCAACTGGCAACTGATTGTACATTTGCCAATTTACCACACAAATTATATGACATTCAAATGCTAAATGAACAAAGAAAGAAAAAAACTCTGTGGTGTTAATGAAAATACCTCTCGAGAGACACGATCCCAGACTATAGCTTCTCGATTTGCATCACCAGAGGCAAACATCGAGAAATCTGGTGAGTAGCGTATGACTGTTAGAGCACCTCGATGTTTCTCAAGTACTGCCTCTTCCTTGAGGGTATCACCTGTGATACAATATATATGCAATTTACCATCCTGCCCACCAATTATAGCTTCACTTCCATCAGGTGCAACTGCTAATGCTGTCACGGCAAAACCAAGGTTTATGGTTGAAACCACTTTCGTACCACGGAGCATGACAACTTCTGAGTCAGTTGTGATTAAAGCAAGTTCAGGGGAGAGAAGGGCAAGGCTCAAGTCCTTTGGTTGACTGCCAATATCAACAGAATCTGCATCCCCACACTGATCCCCATGTAGAGAAATTCTCCATATCTGGAATAGGAATACCATTAAAAGCAAAACATAAGAAATAGTAGAACCTACATACCAATAGAAAAAGATAATTATGAGGTATGAAGATATGATAAACTACATAAAGGTCTGAGTTTAACCTCAAACTCAACAAGAACCAAGATGAACACGTTCATGGTCACAAGGGAAGAGAAAAAAAGACTGCAAATATCAAATCATTATTAAAAGCTAAAGGTGCTGATTGTTTGAGATACTAAAATTCTGTAAAGTAAAAAAATCTACTCTACACCTTAGAGCACCATATATTTAAAATAAAATATAATTGAAAGTAGAATGTGTGAATATTGAATCATTCATACATTGAAATAAATCATCAAGCAAGAATGTTACAGAAACTGGAATTTTTTGTGGAAAAAAAATTATTTCCTTTATTCCACCTTTAAATTTGTCTTTTTGCTCCTCAAAGGTTCTGTTATGAAAATGTTATTGTTTTAGCATAAGTTAATCTGTTTTACCCAAATACTTATTGCTTAAACACTCTATGTTAATTTTAAACCATGATCTTCACATCATGAATGGATTAATATACTTTGAATCTTAATAATTTTTCTAACACACTCATGTCATATATATTGGACACTTCAAAGAGGATATTAACATGAGGATGTGACCTTTTGCACATAGTATTCACCTCAGACAGGTACCCATGCTGCAAATAGACATACTGCTTGAAAAAAAATTGAACACATAATTCAGTGGCACAAAAGAATAAAAGCACGTTCTCATCCTCCTCCAATCAAAAAAAAAAAAGGTGAGAGAGAAGAAAAATGAAAATCAACAAATTAATCTTAATGACATTGTTTCAATAGACTAAACAAAAAGATGGGTAGTCACCTTATTGTCAAATCCAGAAGTAACAATCTCTTCGTCAGCAGCAGCAAAACATTTGATTTGAGAATTCTCTTTCCTCAGTAATTTACCACTATATCCCACACCTTGAATCCATTTAACTATTAGGCCATCATAACTACTAGACAGTATACATTTTGGGTCACTCTTTAGGACAGCTAATGAAGTGACATTCTTCATGTGTCCTGATAATTGCAGTGGGGCCTTTTCAAGATTACTAGCAAAGAATATACTAATTGTACCACCTAGAGAGACAGTGACAAGATGATCATTCTGCCAAAGACATCCAACAAGCATGTCATCTACTCCACCTGAGCCAGAACATGTCAATGTTTTCTTCAACTTCCCATTTCCATCCTCAAAGATCTCCCATACTTTTGCTGTCTTGTCAGCAGACACTGTCAGCACCTGGAAAAAAATTTACTAATTAACCTTAAAAGCATATTTGAATGTTGTAAGACATCATAAGTATGCTGAGTACAAAGAGCACAGTAAACTACAAAAAGGAAGCACGCCATGAAAGAAAACTATAACGTATGTAACTACAGATATACACTAAAATACATGCACAAAATGACAGAAAAGGAAGGGGAGGGAGGTTTGGAAGCTTTCAATTCCTTTTGTTCTATAGGGTGATACTAGGGAAAATGCATGAGTAGTAATTTAATTTCTCTACAAAATCTAAGTTGTGAACCAAAGATACAAGTTTGATGTCATTAACAAAAATCAAGATGCAATATACCAGAATACCAAGTCATGAAAGACCAATCTAATGTCATATAAATCATTCTGCATTGTACAATATTGGCAGCGAAAGCTCTACACTCTATTGTAATTGATCAGCTCCATAGAGGTCAATATAAATTCCTTTTTTGAGCAGATACAAAGTGCATCAAGGAAAAATAGTAAGAGTTGCATTTTTTTTTTTACTTAGATGCATAAAACATAAAGAAAAAGAAGAATGTAAACACATTTAAGGGATATCAACTTGATAAGACTCTATTGAATTCAGTGCATATTTGTTCTTTCCTATGTTTTACAGCAACCTTTTACAAGAACCCAAATATCATACAGCAATAATAAAACAATTTATTCATATTTTCACTGTGCTTAAGTCTATTTTGGTGATATAGGTGCATATAACATCTACAACGGAATTCAACTGTCAAGTATAAAAGTCCTCACATGCTTACCTGTTTACCATCAGGACTCCAGCTAACAGCATAAATGCTGCCTTTGTGAGCATCTTCAGATGACAATTCTCCAATCTTCTCCCCACTTTTTCCATCAAATATGATACCCTTTTTATCAGAGCTAACTGTGATGAATTTGCTTCCATCTGGAGAAAATCTTACACAATTTACAAAATTGGAGTGATCTCTGCAAATAAAAAATTGAAACATTTCAGTTTATGCATTTATAGGTGAAATGAAGAATATACCAAAGTTCAGACAATCATAAACTCCAAAAATTGGAAAGACAGATGAGTTTTACATATTTGTCTCTAAACATAGGGCAAAAGATGTGTAAGAGTGTGTGTGTGTGTGTGTGCGTGTGTGTGTGTGTGTGTGAGAGAGAGAGAGAGAGAGAGAATAAAAATAGGTTAATTTGCATAAGAATTAAAAAAGCCATACACTTAATTCTAAAACATGGCTCCATGTTTCGTTTTCTTTCTTCTTCTTTTTTTTTTGTGAAATCTATTTTAAACCATGAGTTATTAAGCAGAATTAATTGAAGTTGTTTTAAAATGGTTATTGCACTCTTGTTTGCCAGACCAAAACTTGTTTTTAGTTACCAACAAATTGTAGCTGCAATATGAAGAGATAGTTCACATCAGGACCCAATCTTGCCAACTTGCCAGATACCATGTTTCCTAAAAGGATACCAACTTCACTCAACAGTCAACCTCTTTTCTTCAATCATGTGTGTAAAGGAAAATAACAGATTTTCATTCAAAAAAATGTATGCACATAAAGAAAAGTATACCCAAAATTCTCGTGCCACCATTGCCAAGCTTTGGTCAATCAACTATTAACAAAAATTGTCATTAAGCCAGGGAGGGTTGCCTAGGTGTAACTCCAATCAGATGGAGGGAGGCAAAAGTTAAAAAGAAACAACAAAACCCTTATGATTAACACATAAAAGAATAAGGAAAATTTATGTACATATTAGTTGAGATAGCCTTAAGTATTAGAGTGATTGGCATAAATTGCACAAAGTATTTTTCCAAGAGAAATGCACACGGAGACCCCCTAGGAGGAGTTTGTGGCTCATTTGCAAGTATTTGGCTACAGAAAATTATCATTTTGGCTAAAGATTGCAATGTGTAAAAACACTAATCAACAAAGTTTCTTTTCAATTCTGAAGCCCCTAAAAGAAACTCTCTTTCTGATTCCATCCATTATCAGAAGTATGTGAAAGAGACCCTTTCAGACCCAAAATGTCAAGGAAACAGCTTCTTTATAACAAACCTGTGAGATAGCTTGAACCTAAAGGGTGGGCCTTCATAAAAATTCACCAAAAAGTCCTCTCCACATGTTACAATACGAAATGGTCTAGTTGGCTTGAAGGAACAACTTAGAACTCGTCTTGAATGGCCATCAAATTCGCCCACATTAGTGCCTGAATCCCACCTATGCAAGATAATGTTCATCAGCTATATAACAATAATAGCATGAGAATGTGGGCTAGATAAAGAACACCATTACAAAATCTTTTTGCATGGAAAGTAAAAGTTTCAATCTCTTCCCCAGTAATCTATCATAAATCAAAGGTCAAGGAATTATGACCTGAGTGTCCATGCATCTCTAACATTAAAATTCAAAATCCCTTGATGCTCTCACTTTTAAATGATGTGTCAAGTAAGGTGACCATAAATTCACATACGTTCAAATTTCTTGAAAGCAAGTAGGCATATGGACCAGCATGCAGGTAAATGTGACTGATTTGTTAACAAAGCAAATCTGTGAATGGAAATAGGGTCATCTGTAAGGTAATTATGCAAGCACCATGTCCTACATATACTCTAGCAATTGGGGATTTATATTTCCTACATTATTAGAGTATAGATCCAATAAATTCTCATTAAAACTAAATCACATGCTGCCACCTCATTCCTAATTGAACTTAAAACTTTGAGAGTATTCCAAAACAAATCCTATCTTTCCTAATTAAACTTGTAAGTATTTATTTCTAAGCAATCTTAGGGTAGCACATATTGTTCATCGACAGTGTATAAAATCAACAATCTTATCCTCAAATTGAATCTATCTACTGATAAGAGTATCAAATATAAATCCAAACAATTGGAATACGAAATGGGTTTGATCGATATATATATATATATTCAGAGTCTAGACCATATAAAAGGAAAAACAACAAGAAAAGAAAACTCACATAAAAGCGCGAACAAGAGACTTCCCTTTGCCATCACCAGAGGCGACGATCCGCATCCCATCAGGAGACCATTGGAGATCATCGATCCCACCCGACAAAACCTTGAACTCTTTCTTCAGCACGTGGTCATTGTGGGTGCCCCAGATCCTGACAGTGCCCGACACGTCAGCCGATGCGATCCACTCTCCGTTGGGCGAGAACCGCGCCACGGTGGCCGGGTACGCATGCTCCCCGTAAATAGCGACGTTGAGTGGATTGTTAAGGTCGAGAATGATGACGGATCGCCCGTTGGTGTAAAGAACCTTGTTGGACTTGGGGTCGCCCGAGATTAGGATCCCACGGCCCCGCTCGGTTGATGGGACGCAAGCGTAGGTCTCTGCGAGCTCTGGCATTGGGGTTCTGACTATTTATTTGATAATTTGATTGGGAAAAGGAAATGGGGGAACTGAGAAGGGATTGTGGTGAAAGGGAAAGTAGGGAGTGTGGGGTTTGGGGATCAAAAGCAGGGGAAGAGTGGGGGGTTTTTGAATAGTAAATGGTTTTACATTCGTGCGGGAGTGGCGGTGGGAGTTGCAGGGCACGAAGTAGAAATGATGGTGATTGATTTCGGGCTGGATGAATGTTTTAGCTATAGCTTTTGGGACTGTTGGGCTTGGACGAAAGTGCAATACGCCACGATCAAGTAGGTAAAACGCAGAAACAATATTCAACTCTTGGTTTACAGTGGGAATGGCAGTGACCGCCATCACCAACAGTGGATTATGATCATGATTTAAATTTTTTGACAGTGGACTGTTCGTGGTTATAAACATTTAAAAAAGATTAAAAATGAAATTTGGGACGATTGTATATTAATAATTGAATTCAATGTCAAGCACATTTATATTTCTTCTTAGTTTCTTTAGTTTTCGGCACTTCCAATCTTGTAAATTGTAATTTCTTATCTTTGTTGTAGTTATCGAATAGGTGAGACACTGATAATTCTTAGGATATTTGTTGTCGTTATCCAAGTTTGTATCCGAAATTTGTCTCCACAGAATTGGTGGGACGAATTGAGAGGCTATGAGTCCAGGAAGAACAAGAACTCAAGCATTGGAAGATGATTGACCGTCAGAAGGTGAAGTGGTTGAAGTGGATAACCACAGGTCTTGACTCAAGCCATGCTTACGAGGGCTTTCCATTGGTTCAGTATCATTGATAAGGTATGTAATTCCATTAACTTGTCAGAAGGTGAGGAAGCAAAGCGGTGCATATGTTTCTAGAAATGTCAGATTCGTTCGTTTTAGAAATGAGGCTGTACAGTGTCTTATATACACAGGGTAAAGATAAGCAAGAGAGATAAAAGAATTAGCTAACTAATTAATACATTTAATGGTATCTAACTAACTGTTAAATTCCTGCTAGTGCAATGTGAGTTTCACCTATACAACGGAGAAAGGTTGGCTACTTATTTAAACGGGGCGTATTGAGCACCAAGTGTCAATCTTCTATTTTGTTCTTCCATTTTGGGTTTCTGGCTGTTCTTCATGCATAATGTTTTCTTCTTTGTTATATGTTTGGATTTTATTAATTTTGGACTTATTTCTTCACTTCCTTTTGACACTCCCCCACAAGAAGAGGTCTAAATGTTTTAAATGCTCATCTTGCTCAGTAGCTGATGGAATTGTTTCGATTGCGAAGTCTTGGTGAAGATATTAGCTACTTGCAAATTTGTGGAGATAAATAGAGTCGCTTGATTCTACCTACCAACACTTTCTTACGAATGAAGTGACAATTCATTTTAATGTGCTTTGTCTTCTTATGAAACACTAGATTCTTCTTGATATGGATTACAAATTAACTCTCCGAATAGAGATTTATTGCTTCAACATGATTAACCCCAAAATCTATCAATAAGTGTTTCATCCGTATTATCTCATAGCATGCAAATGCCATTGAACGATACTCAATTTTAGCTGAACTTCGAGCTACTACAGCTTGCTTTTTTGATTTCCAACGCACCAAGAAATCTTTGATGCATATGCTATGTCTAGTAAATCTTCGAGTGTGAGAACATTGTCATAACGTGCCAGTCTAAGAACCCGTTCGCTAGATGTGAAAAACTAAGGAGTCACTACTAATCTTTTTTGTCTGAGTGTGATTGGTCATCTTTTAAATTTGTTCTATTCGACGGAGTCTTAAATTGATTTTAAGTCCATTTAAAGAATAATAAATTGTTCTAATAATTTTTACAATTGGGTTCGGGAATACGGTTACACACAAGGAAAAATTAGTACCCCCGTAATACTCGTTCCATAAACGGTACCATTTAATCATACGTTATCTTATTATAGCCTAAATTCTTAAATTTATTTCATTGTATTTCCTTAATTATCATTTATTTATTTTATTAAATCGGATTACAACTTATTATTATATTATACAAATGACGCAATCGTGAAATGCAGGGCATAAAATCTAGATAGTGCCAAACGAAAACCTTTTATTGAGGATATTTATCAAATACGTCCATCATACTAGTGAGATCCGAGGATATTCTCTAACCTAGGGAAAATCTGGGAAACTTACCTTTGCAAGCTTAATGAGTAAATCCCATCATCGGAATAGTCGTTTACATTTGAAAATAATATTTTTCATGAATACATAACCTAATATGAGTAGAAGTCTTTTATCAAAAATATTCTCTAAGCCCTCTCATGATACTGGTAGAACTCAGAAGTATCTTTTTACTTAAAAAAGTTTTCGAAAGAACTTGCCTTATCAAGCACCCTCGGAAAGTCCTATCATCGGGCTTATATTAGTGTATAGAATATGTCTACATAGCATAACATTTAACGATGTGGTGATAATGTGTGATGTGACTAAATAATTTCAATATTCATTCTTAACTTTCTTGTAACTCTTTTGTAATTTCTTTTAAAATTATTTATCGTTATTTATATATATATCATGAATAAATATTTTATTTTTATCTAATTTTATTTTATTCCATATTTTTATATATTTAGTATTTATCTATCTTGCTAATGTATATTTTCCTTAGCTAGTTCTTTAATCCAATATTTTATTTTAGAATTATTATTTTTTATGTATATATTTCTTATAACTCCAGTTTTTATTTTTTAAATTACATAACCTATTTTCTTTTTCACTAATTATTTTTTCATTTTTATAATTCAATTTTTTATTTTTTTAAATTACCCAACCTATTTTCTTTTTGACTAATTATTTTTTTTATCTTTTCTCAAAAATCTATTTTTTATGATTATATTCATTTGCTTTTTATGTTTTAATTATATTCATTATTATTATGAGTTTACTATCTTTAAATTTTGATTTTTATTAATTATTTATCATCATGAATTTGATTATTTTATATAATCCTTTATTCTTTTAAAACCTCATATGTATATATATTATCCATTCCTTTTTGTATTTTATTATTATTATTATTATTATTATTATTATTGTTATCATTACTTCCTTATTTCTTTTGTTTTTGTATTTTGACTAGTTAGTAATTAAGTGTATGTAATTTTTATTTATTTAGGATTAGAAATATTGGAGTTCAAAATTGTGACTCTCCCATCGTGCTAGTGAGGTCGTAATCAAACTCCCTACCTTAAGGAAATTTATTCAAAATTGCTACTTCTTACATTCCGATAAGACATCCCATCATCGTTATTAATCCTAAGTATTTATATTTTATTATTATTTCTCTACCTTTCCATTCTTTTGAATTTAAATATTTATCTATTTTTTTAAATATTTTATTTTTACATATATCTATTTTTTATTTAACCATATACTTTATTTTATTATAATTATTATTTATATATCTTTTCTACCTAATCTGCTTTCTTTGTAACTAAATTTCCTTTCTATTTTTTCTTATTTTTCTAATTTATTATTTTTTTATTTTTTTTATTTTCAACTAATATTTTTTATATATTTTTTCACCTAGCCCATATTTATTTACTCATGATACTTCATATGATTCACAATTATATTTAGTAATATATAATATGTATGTATGTATATATATATATATATATATATTAAGAAAATGATAAAAACTATTGCATAATTAATAAACAAAGAAAATAATAATAATGCAAACTAGGCAAAATCAAGCCCAAAAGTAAATCAAATCACCATAAAAAAAGAGATCCATTACCTAACAAGCCGAAACAAGCCAAAAGTCTAGTCTATTTCTAGATAGGTCATGGGACTTAGTCTGGCCTTAAGCGTCAACATCAGTCTGGTTCGACTCCAAGTGTCTAGACCCCCAAAACGCACCATTTGGTGCAGAGAAGAAATACTCGATATTACCTTTAGAAATGACATTGTTCCATTTCTTCACTGTCTAACTACTATTGCTAAAATGGTGTCGTTTTAAAGTACCTAACCCTAGGTATATAACCCCTTTTTCTCCTTTTCTTTCTCCATTTATCTTCTTCACTTTCTCTCTCTAACCGATTTCCTCTCCCCTCTCTCTAAACCTAAAACTTCTCTTCCCTTTCTTGTTTGAAGCCTCACCATAGTTTTCTATTTCTCTTACCGCTCCCTCTTAACCACCAATCTAACCACAAAACAACCAACTTCTAAACCCTAAACTCTCAAAACCAAAACAAAAAAAAAAGAGAAGAGAAAAAAATCATAAACCTAACCTATTGTGATTTTCCTATTTTCGTTTTTTTTTTTGCTACTTTTCTAGAACTTCTTTTGCATATAGCTTCGATTGTGGTTAAGATATTTGGCTACTAGTAAAAGGATTCTAGGGTTTTTAGTTGCTAGGTTTTCTCAAAAATAGGATTTTGTTCGTTGTTTGGTTTTTCTAGCTATTGTGTTTCTAGGGTTCATGCTTTCTAAGGTCTTCTTTTTTTCTAGAAGGCACCCTCTTGGGTGTTGAGGGTGCCACCTGTGCTCCCCAGCACCGTGAGTGTTGATTCTATATGTTTTTTATGATAACAAAATATTTTTTATTTATTAATGTCTAACTTTACTATTTAAGTGTGCAGGATTTAATTTAATATCCTTAACAAAGCTGTTAGTTAAAAGCAAGTTAAGGAACTTGCTAAGTTTAATGAAGAGTTAATTAGTTAAGAAGGAAAGAGCAAATAATGAATAAAAACAGAACCTTAGCAATTGATTATCAAAGGACCTTAATCAGCTAAGGCATGGTTGTATGATAAGTTGAAGCAAAACAGAAATATGCTAATCTGTTAAGAGGGTTGGTAGTATTTTCAAGCGCCAAAAACAAGTTTGAAAATATTATTGACCGTTGAAGGGAGCCAAAATAGAGAAGTTCAAAATTTGAAAATCTTCTAGTTGATTAAAGCTGATTTTAATTAGTTATGCCTGAAAGAAGTAAAGCCTTAATCAGTTAAGGTAAATGCTAATCAATTAGAGGAAGACTGTTATGTAGAGAAGTGAAAACAAAAAGTTTGTAATAAGTTAGAGTCTGCCATAATCAGTTAGAGGAAGTCTGTTGAAAAAGAGAAGTCTAAAGATAGAGAACTCCTAATTAGTTAAAGCCTTCTATAATCGGTTAGAGTAGAACACAACA